TTTTTTTGAATTTTTTGAGACTTGCTTTGTTACCTAACATGTAGTCTATCCTGGAGAATGTTCCATGTGCTGATGAGAAGAATGAATATTCTGAGGTTGTTGGATGGAATGTTCTGTAGCTATGTGCCAAGTCCAATTGGTCTAAAGTGTTGTTTAGATCTTGTGTTTCTTTATTGAGTTTTTGCCTAGATGATCTGTCCAGTGTTGAGAGTGGGGCATTCAGGTCCACCACTATTATGGTATTAGTATCCATCTCATTCTTTAGATCTAATAGTGTTTGCTTTATAAATCTGACTGCTCTGACATTGGATGTGTATATGTTTATGATTGTTATGTCTTCTTGATGGAAAGATCCTTTTATCATTATATAGTGGCCTTCTTTATCTCCTTTTATGGCATTTGCTTTAAAGTCTATTTTATCTGATATAAGAATAGCTACTCCAGCTTGTTTTTTATTTATATTTTCTTGGTATATCTTTTTCCATCCTTTCACTCTAACTTTGTGTGTGTCTTTACAGGTGAGGTGAGTCTCTTGAAGGCAGCATATTGTTGGGTCCATCTTTTTAATCCAGTCAGTCTGTGTCTTTTGAGTGGGGAATTTAATCCCTTTACATTTAGAGTTATTATTGAAAGGTGTTGATTTACTCCTAGCATTTTATTGATTTTTGTTTACATGTCTTAAGGACCTTTAATTCCTTTCTTTCTAATTTTCTGTTTGTCTTCTGTATTTTTTGGTTTCTTGGGGTGGTAGATAAACTATATTTTTTCTTTATTGTTAGCATTTTTGTTTTACTGGTAGGTTTTGTTCTTTCTTGAGTATTCATGGCAGTGATGGTTGTTTTTCAGGTATCAAACCCAGTCCTTCCTTGAGAATTTCTTGTAAGGCTGGTTGTGTGGTAGTGAACTCCTGCAGTTTTTATTTGTTTGAGAAATGTACTATTTGTCCTTCATTTTGCAAGGATAGCCTTGCTGGGTAAAGCCTTGCTGGCAATTTTTGTCCTTTAGTATTTTGAATATATCATCCCATTCTTTTCTGGCTTTTAGGGTTTCTGATGCAAAGTCTGATGTTATTCTGATTGGGGCTCCCTTATAGGTGACTTGCTGCTTCTCTCTTGCAGCTTTTAAGATTCTCTTTTTGCCTTTGAGTTTTGCCAGTTTGACTATAACATGTCTTGGAGAGGACCTTTTTGGGTTGAATATGTTTGGGGATCTTTGGGCTTCCTAAATCTGACGATCTGTGACTTTCCCTATACCTGGGAAATTTTCTGCTATTATTTCACTGAATATGTTTTCAATGCCATTTCCTTTTTCCTCTCCTTCTGCACTACCCATGATTCGGATATTTGAGTGCTTAAGGTTGTCTTTTATCTTTCTTAGATTTTCTTCAGTTTTTTAAATTCTTTTTTCTTTTTTCTGGTCTGCCTGTGTTAATTCAAACAGCCTGTCTTAAAGGTCAGAAATTCTCTCTTCTCCTTGTTCTAGCTTGCTGGTTAGACTCTGTTGTGTTTTTTATTTCGTTGAATGAATCCTTCAGCTCCACAAGCTCTGCTACATTCTTTTTCAGGGCATTGATTTCTTTGTACATTTCTTCTTTCAGATCCTGTATATTTTTTCTCATTTCATTGTGTTTTCTAACTGAGTTTCCTTGTATCTCATTTAGTTTTCTTAGAATTGTTGCTCTAAATTCCTTGTCAGTCATTTCAAAGACTTCCTGTTCTATAGGATCTAGAGCTTGAGAGTTATTACTTTCCTTTGGTGGTGATGTACTTTCTTGATTTTTCATATTTCTGCTATCTTTCCTTTGGGGTTTAGTCATTGTGGCAGGGGGTATCATGGTCCACTCATTCTACCCTGATGTCTGGCTTGGATCCTGAAGGGACTGCCAATCTGGGCAGTGGGAACTAGCCTGGGCTCAGGGTCCCGCAGTGCCTGCCTCTTCTGGCATGGCTGACTCGGGATGTGTGGGTTTAGTGGCTCTCAGGCCTCTCTTGACAGCAGGGACTGACCTGGGCTGGGAGTCCTGCAGCGCCTGCCTGTTCTGGAACAGCTGACTTGGGGCATGTGGGCCCGGCAGCTCTCAGGCCTCTCTGCATGGCAGGGACTGTACTGGGCTGAGGGTCCCATGTCACCTGCTTCTTCCCGCACTGCTGACTCAGGGCATGTGGACCTGGTGGCTCTCGGGCCTCTCTGTGCAGTGGGGACTGGTCTGGACTGGGCGTCCCATGGCGCCTGCCTCTTCTGGCATGGCTCACTTGGGGTATGTGATCCCGGTGGCTCTCAGGCCTCTCTAAGCAGTGGGGACCGACCTGGGCTGGAGGTCCCGTGGTGCCTATCTTTTCCGGCGTGGTTGACTTGGGGCATGTGGGCCCAGTGGCTCTCAGGCCTCGCTGGGTGGGGGGCACTGGCCTGGGCTGGGGGTCCCACGGCGCCTGCCTTTTCCGGCGTGACTGACTCAGGGCGTGTGGGTGGCTCTCAGGCCTCTGTATGCTGTGGGGACTGACCTGGGCTGGAGGTCCCACGGCTTCTGCCCTTCCTGGTGCGGCTGACTCGGGGTGCATGGGCCCATTGGCTCTCAGGCCTCTCTTAGCAGTGGGGACTTAACTGGGCTGGAGGTCCTACAGTGCTTGCCCTTTCCGATGCAGCTGACTTGGGGTATGTGGGCCCGGCGGTTCTCAGTCCTCTCTAAGTGTCAGGGACTGACTTGGGCTGGAGGTCCCTCAGTGCCTGCCCTTTCTGGCACAGCTGACTCGGGGCGTGTGGGCCCCACAGCTCTCAGGCCTCTCTGGGCACAGATCTTGGGCCTCCCGTTGTTGCCTTTTAACAGTTGCAAATTGGTCGATTTGTGGGAGAGAGCGACACCAGGAACCATCCATTCTGCCATCTTGACCAGAAGCTCCCATGATATTTTCTAATTTGTCCTTGCTGATCATGTGTCCAGCCACCTCACTCTTTTATTAGTTTTATTTGTTTTTCAGTTGATTCTCTTGAATTTTCTTGGTAGCTGACCATATGATCACCAAATACAAAGTTTTGTCTCTTTCCAGTACTTATTTTGTTTTCTTATTACATTAAATAAGAGAACTTTTTTTGTAGACATGATAGTGAATATCTTTGTCTTATACTTTATTCTGATGGGATCATGCTATTTAAACTATTGAATGTCATCCAAGGAAACAAGTACTCTTCTACTTTGCTGTTTTGGGTATAAATTGGTACAGCCTTTTTTATAACAGTTTAGTGGTACATATTTTAGGGCTTTAAAAACGTACAGGCCCTTCAACTCAGCAGTTCCACTAAACAACCAAAAATGTGTGCAAAGATATAACTATAATGTTCATGCAGGGACTTTTTGAAATAGAAAAAAGTTAGAAACAACTTAGATTTCTTCTAGTGGAATTAGATTAAAAAACCTGTTACATTTGTTTAATACTATACTGCCAGTATGTGAGGTAGATTTTCATATATGAGTACAGTCGGCCCTCCACATCTCTGGGTTCCACATTTGTGGATTCAACTAACCAGGGATGAAAAATATTTGGAAAAAAAAAACCAACAGTAAAGAATAATACAAATTTTTTTTTTTTTGTCTTTTGTCTTTTTTCCATGTCCGGCAATGGATCGCAACCCTCAGTGTTGCCCCCGCACCGGACCAGGGACCGGCAACGGGATTGCAAACCTCGGCGTTGCTCCCGCGCCTCGCCCAGCCAGCGAGCGGGAACCGGTCTGTATGTGGGATCCGAACCCTCGGGCGGGAGCACCGCCACGCTTCCCAAGCGGCGCACTATCCATTGCGCCACTGGGCCGGCCGAGAATAATACAAATTTTAAAATACAGTGTAACGGGCCGAGCCCGTGGCGCACTCGGGAGAGTGTGGCGCTGGGAGTGCAGCAGTGCTCCCGCCGCGGGTTCGGATCCTATATAGGGATGACCGGTGCCCTCACAGCGCTCACTGGCTGAGCACGGTGCGGCCGGTCTCAAAAAAGGAAAAAAAAAAAAATACAGTGTAACAACTATTTACATAGCATTTACATTGTATTAGGTATTATAAGTGATCTAGAGATGATTTAAAGGATACGGGAGGATGTGCAATACTACGCTGTTTTCTGTCAGGGACTTGAGCATTTACGGATTTTGGTATCAGCAAGGAGTCCTGGAACCAGACCCCCATGGATACTGAGATGACTGTAATGGAGACATGCTTGTGATGTATTATTAACTGAAGAAACAAGCTTCAAAGCAGTATATACAATATGTACAGTGTGACTCCATCTTTAAAAACCAATTTAAACATACGTGTTGGAAAGATACATCCTGAAAAGTTAGCAGTGGTGATCCTTCTCTTAATGGTGAGTTTATAGGTGAATTTTTGTTCTCATTTTTGCTTGACTATTTTCTGTAATGAGTCTTTGAAATAAGGGGTAAAGAGTAATATACTTTGCAAAATTGTGACAGAATAAACTTAATTCAATAAATATCTAGAAATTATCTAGGAAATATCTAATGCATGCAAATCATACAGAAGGAAAAGTATATGATTTAGGCCTCTCACTTTTTTCAAATATGTTTTGAACCCCTGCTATGTCACATACTGGGAACACAGTGATGAATAATAAGCAGTTTTTGCTTTGTTTCTACCTTTAAAAAGATTATGTTCCATTGGGCCGGCCCCGTGGCTCACTTGGGTGAGTGCGGCACTGGTAGCACCAAAGCTGCGGGTTCGGATTCTATATAGGTATGGTCAGTGCGCTCACTGGCTGAGCGTGGTGCAGATGACACCAAGCTGAGGGTTACGATTTCCTTACTGGTCACACACACACACACAAAAAGATTATGTTCCAGTGAGGAAGATGGTGAAGAAAAACAGTTAAGTTAAATATGACAACTGTATAAGAGAAACATGGGGCTGTGGGAACACAGAGGAAGGGCTTAAATTTAAGCAATCGTGTTCTTGTAGGTTCTCCTTTTGTTCTAGGAGCTGATATTATGATCTGTTTCTACAGGCTGAGCTGTCCTACGAACGCTCCTAAGAAGCTCCTAGGCGAGCCTTTTGTCCTGAGACAAGCTGTACCTGTGGATTTGTTTCCACACACCCCACACTGCAAGCTGGTGCTCCTCTTCACTCAATAAGCAGCCTTCTAGAAGACTGCAGGCTATTTAAGAATGAAGTTTTAGAAACATCCAGGTTTGGCATATTGCTACATTGCAGACCCTGGGAGCTTTACTGAGGAAATCAATCTTTGGACTGTAAGCAGGAAGAATGTAGTAGGCCTACTGTCTGAGGCAGATTTAGTGTTAGTGTTCAGGTTCTCTTGCTATCATGCATGTTTGCCTGGTTTTGACCACTCTCCACTCCTTGGCTCTGGATCTGGACTGTTCCTTCCTTTTGCTTGTCAGCCTGTCATGATTCCCTTGGTTCTAGTTTCTAGTTTTGTCTCCTTCATCCGATTCTGTTTATGGTGTGGTAACAACTGAGTGTTTTTCAGCAGTTGGTAATAATTTCACATTGATTGGGGTCTGTGCATTTTCTCAGACTTGCCTATTTTTAGATATTTTTAAGACTTCTGAGTTCATGGGGTAGGCAAGGATTAGAACTAGAAATAAGTCTAGCTTTTTAAAAAGCAGAGTAAACTATGAATTGATTGCAGGGTAAATAAATGATTGTCAGATTTATTCTTTTGGGTGTTATAGTAGAAGATTTTAGAATGCCCTTTGAAAATGTGGATATCTCTGGGCCGGCCCGGTGGCGCACTGCTACAATGCGCCGCTTGGGAGCGCGGCGTCACTCCCGCCGAGGGTTCGGATCCCACATACAGACCGGTTCCCGCTCACTGGCTGAGC